AGAGAGAGAGAGACAGAGAGAGAAAGAGAGAGAGAGAGAGAGAGAGAGAGCGTTCCTGCCTGAGTGCAAGTTGCTTACGGAGTCAAAAGTTTTGACACCCCTTAACGAATATTCCTCTTACATCTCAAATGCGAAATTACCGCCCCATCGTATCAGACTTCTTCATGCGCTTCCTCGGTCCTGACCTCCTTTCATCATCATCTTTACCCCTTCGTTCAAATTATCTTCCCTTATCAACCACATTACCGTCCCTCCTGCTGCTCCTCCAAATCACTCTCTTCAGTAACGCTAATCTTAGAGTCATCCTTATTCAGATACCCTTTACACGTTCACCATCCTCATTCGCCTGCTCTCATCATCATCAACACCATCATCATCATCATGAATCAACACCATCACCTCCATATCATCATCATCATCGTTATCTTCTTCATCATCATCATCATCAGCAGCAGCAGCAGCAGCGACATGATTACTATCAGGCTAATTATATATAGCTGCAGCAATTCAGGATCAGCATTAGCCACCGTATCAGTCTTCTCCTCCTTATCATCAGCAATGAATGATCACTACTACCATGATCATCACCCTCCACCTACTCTTCCTCCTTTTCATCATGACCATCCTCGTTATCATCATCCTCCTCTGCTCCATCTTCCTCCTCCAGTGGCCGGTGTTCATGATGTGCCGCCTCATTACTTCCATTATTCCCCTCCTCTGTACCATCCTTATTACCCTGCTCCTCCTCCTCTTCTTCTTCTTCTTTTCTTTCTTCTTCTTCTTCTTCTTCTTCTTCTTCTTCTTCTTTTATTCTTCTTCATCGCCGTTCTCTCCTTAACAACATCATCATCAGTCTATCCTTTACTCATCATGATCATCACCATCCTCATCATTGCCATCATCGTCATCATTTTCATCATTATACCAATCCTCACCCGCTTCCTCCTCCGCTTCAACGTCCCTCTCCTCCTCCTTACCCTCTGCATCATTTCACCGTCACCTTCCTCTACTCCTCGTCATCGCCGTCATCACGACATCACCCTCCTCCTTCCCTGCTTCTCTTAATCATCTGGACGTTGCTCGACATCATCATCATCATCAGCATCAGCATCAGCATCATCGTCGTCGTCGTCGTTGTCCTCATCATCATACTCATCACCGGTGCCCTTCCCCTCCTCCACTGCCTCCTCCTCTCCCCTCTCTCCTCCTCCTGCTCCTGCTCCTGCTCCTGCTCCTGCTCAACATCTTTCCCCTCTGTTTTCTTTCCCCTTCTCTTCTCTCGTCTTCGCCTCCTCGTCGACTCAATCTTCCTCTCCCCCTTTTCCTCCTCCTCTTCCTCAACATGATCCTCACACGATGCTCACTTCTTCTTCTTCTTCTTCTTCTTCTTCTTCTTCTTCTTCTTCTTCTTCTTCTTCTTCACACGACGATCACTTCTTCTTCTTCTTCTTCTTCTTCTTCTTCTTCTTCTTCTTCTTCTTCTTCTTCTTCACACGATGATCACTTCTTCTTCTTCTTCTTCTTCTTCTTCTTCTTCTTCTTCTTCTTCTTGGATCTTGCGGTGGATGCGGGAGCGCAGAAAGCCCCTTGATAAGTCCTGGTGCGCAACCAGGCGAAACGCGTCGGGGAATGTGCGAGTTTTGTGAGCGAAGCTATGTCTATGCAGGTGCTGTGATGTACTCTCTTTGAAAGCACTAAGACAGAGTGCTTGCTCTCGCGTTTTTCCTTCATTCCTTCTTCTTGTTATTTTTGCACTCTCTCGAGCCGCGGGTGCGCAGACGTGGAGACCGTGCCAGCTATATGTTCTGAGGGCAAGCCCAGAACGGCCCTCTTTGTCCTGGGCGGAATGCTACGGTGGATGCGCGAGAGTGGTTGCCCCTTGATAAGTCCTGGTGCGCAGCCAGGTGAAACGCGCGTCGGGGAATGTGCTCGTTGAGCTGATTGTACGTGTAGCTGATATACTGCTCATCATTGAGACATGGACGCATAGCGATTGGCCTCGCTATTTCAATTCCGTTCAATTCAATTCTTCTTCTTCTTCTTCTTCTTCTTCTTCTTCTTCTTCTTCTTCTTCCTTGCAAGTTTTCGCTGACTTCAAAAGAAAAGCCTCGGCTCGAAATGGCCTACGATACGACCACGACAAGTTCACATCATGAACATGCTATCTCAGTATTTTCTTCTTCTCCTCCTTCGTCTACTTTTACTTCTTCTTCTTCCTTGCACGTTTTCGCTGGCATCGAAAGACATAACTTATGTCGTAATGGTCTACGATACGACCACGACAAGCGGACATCACGATCATCTTATGGTAGGTAATCGTCAGCCCCACAGAATCGTCTCCTCCCACGCATGTTTAGCCCTCCAACGCAAAAGGGATCAGTTTCGTGGCATCCTCCTCCACAAGGCCAAACTCTACTCGTCTTGTTATTTTACTTACTCGTGCAGCCGTTGTTCCTCGTGCAGCCCTTGGGACGAAATATGGAAGGAGGAAGATGTGTGCGGCATCCTCCTCCCCCCTTACCTACCCTCCATCCCACTCCTCCTCCTCCTCCTCCTCCTCCTCCTCCTACCCCCCATCCCACTCCTCCTCCTCCTCCTCCTCCTCCTCCTCCTCCTACTACTACTACTACTCCTCCTCGTCAAAGTTGTGATCTTTGCAACGATGCTTATCGTTTCCATCCTGATCACTGATCGAAGCCCATATTTTTCTTTGCTTTTCCCCTCCTCATCCTCCGCTCTGTCCTCCTTTGGAAAAGATCTGAACAAATCGGGACTCCGTGCTCCTCGATCTCTGATCGAATACCATATTCCTCCAACAACTCGACATCATCAGCAGACGAATATTCACCGTCACCCCCTACAACACCTTCACCTACACATGTAAAATCTCCTTTTTTTCCCCCTCCACTCCCCCTCCTCAATATCACTTCCTGCCTAATCATCGCTTTGTCGCCTTCTCTCTCTCTCTCTCTCTCTCTCTCTCTCTCTCTCTCTCTCTCTCTCTCTCTCTCTCTCTCTCTCTCTCT